GTTCTGATACAGAAAATGAGAAAGTCAAACTTGAAGCATCGTGTCCCAAAATTAGGACACTTTCCATGGGGGGACATAACTGACTTGACTCTAGGTGGTGTATAATTGAGGGTTTTTGTAATAGTTTTTGTTATGTGCATTTAAACCATGGTTTAAGGTAGTGATGTAAAATTTCCTTTTAAAGGACATTTATTTAAGATTTTTAAAAGTTGAATTAAAGAAAAAATAAGTGTAACTAAGAGCAAATGTACTGTGTAATGTGGGTAAAGCCATGAAGTTGGTAAATTACTGATATTTGGGAACTACTGGGCCTAGAAAGTAATCTAAGATCATCTGTGATTCTGAGAGGAATTTTGTGTCCTTAGTCTTAGAATATCAGTACTGGTTACCTAGTAGATTCTAAGTGAGAAAACTTCTAGGATTAATATCTTAACTCCACATGAGAGGTTTATTTTATTTATTGCCAAAATGTCTTTTAAAAATGACATAGTCTAATGAGGGAGGGGGGAAAATTAGATTGTGATTTATTTTACTTAAGCAGAAACCTAGTAATTGGGGGACAGTTCAGTGTTTTAAATCTTTGTAGAAAAGTTCCACTTACTCTTTTAATTTAAGTAGCTCAGATTGGCTACAGGAGTAATTTGGCTTTTTCCAGAAGTTGTCTTTTCCATGTCCACCTTTATGATCTAAGCCTGTGACACCTGACAAACTCAGAGGCTCTTGTAAGGTGAGATGTTGCTATAGGATGGAATGTCGAGACCCCTGGGATGCCCTAGTGGAAAGATAATAAGACTGAAATGCAGTAAATGGAGTGTGGAGAATAGCACACTTCAGAGAGAGAATGTTCCAGCAATTTGTGTTCCTTGTTTATTATTGTGAACTTCGGTTTGTTATGTCCCAAGACTATAATCCTTTTGAGATTCATCTTTTCAGTGTTATTTCTAATTTTAAGCTTTTACTGTGCTTCACATCCACACAAGTCTCGGAAGAGTATCTCATCTAGAATGATGCACAGAAATTGATAATAGAGGTTGCCTGTGGGGACCTGAGTGGTCGTAGGATAGATCTGGTAGAACACTATTTTCTCTCTATGTTCTTGTGTATTTTGTACCATGTGCATATATTATTGTTTTAAATTAAATACTGAATAAAAACTCAGCCGATAGATTTGTTCCTTCTTAATATGTATGTTTATATACTTACGTGTATATATATATATATATATATATATATATA